CTCCCAATATGTGAGAGGGGGCGGGCTGGGATGAGGGACACTCCCCCCCTCCACCCACCCAGTGCACAAATTTCGTGCACCGGGCCCCTAGTTTTTAATAATTTAATTTTAAAATGTCTCTTTTTATGAGACTGACGCGCTGCCTGTTGCGCTAAGGGGGCGCCTAAAATTTCTGTTTTTAAAGCTACATAATTTATTTTGGATATGGTAGTAATTATCAAATTGGAAGGGAGATTTGATGATGTCTTTTATTTACTTTAGTAGCAAAACTGTTAGTTTTCAGATTTTATCTTTTCTGCTATATTGAACTTTATTGTGATAGAAACATTAGTCTTACATGTTACTATTTTAATCTTTATAATAAACTGGTTTCATGGTTATAAGTCCCTACGTTCTAAATTTTTGTTATGTACTTTAGATTTAGTATTAAAAATGGTAGAGACAGGCTTTCCAAGGACTAGGGCGAAAGAGTAAAGTTCAGAGTTTGACATCCCCCCAATCTGCTAAACTATACATACAACTGAAAATATGCATTATTTAATATATTTTCAAAATGCTTACACCAATGTTTATGACAAATTCCTTTTTAAGAGAGGAATATGCAACTCAGGTGAAATTAATTGTTCAAGTTCTTATCAATTTAATAATAAAACTTATAAATAATCTAGTTTTTAGACTAGTATGCTTCCACTAAGATAAATATAAATATCCATACTAGGAAAAGGAATAGTGAGGCAGTAAGAAAAGTAGCTTTTTTTCTTCCAGTTTTTTTATTTGTCATATGAAGATAAGTAATGTTTATTTAGTATTTCTTATAGAGCTGTTAGAAATATGAAGATAGCTCTGTGAAAGAATTTTGAAAACTTTTATGTGTATTGAGAGTTTACTTCTCTTGAACAGTGTCATTCAAGTATGATTCATGGACATGTACCGTGTTTCTTCTTCAAAGGTCCATAATGAGATAAAAATGGAAATTATGAGTATGCATTTAGAAATGTTTTACAGGAATTTTATAGTGCACTATAAGTATCTCACAAAAATATCTGGAACAGATTAGAAATTTAAAAATCTTGTTCTTTAATTTGTGTCCTTTAAATTATGATTGAGTGTATCGGAAGGAAATAATAAAACTTCAGATTATTTTTAAATTTCACCCTCTGAAAATTTTCTACTTTTTTCATATATTATTCTTTTTCAATAGATATATATCTAGAAGTAGAGGATTTCAGTGCATCCATTGTGTTATGGATCCTAGCCTGTTTTTTTCATTAACCTAGTTTTACATAGTACTTAGGGGATATTTACTGTTCAGTGCTTGCTGAAATGCCTTCTTTTCTTGTAACAAAGGAATGTGTATTTATTTAGGTTGTACAGTGGTTGCTGGAAGAAAAATTGCGTGCACTACAGTGTGCTGTATTTGATAAGACTTTGGCAGAATTGAAAACACGAGTGGAAAAGATCGAATGTAATAAGAGGCATAAAACAGTTCTTACTGAACTACAGGTTTGTACACTGACTTGAATTGTATATGAATTTTTTTGGTATATATATTTTATAACTTATTGTTTGTGATACATTTTTGAACTTGACAATAAAATATATCTAACTTCTAAATTTTAGAAGAGGAGCCTCTGTTAGTTTCCTAGACTGCCATAAAAGTGGTGCCATTAACTGGGTGGCTTAAACAACAGAAACATATTGTTTCATAGTTCTGGAGGCTAAAAGTTGTAGATCAAGGTGTTGGCAGGACTGGTTCTTTCTGAGAGGTGTGAGGAAGAATCTGTTCCATGTGTCTCTTCTGGTTTCTGATGGTTTGTTTACTGGCAGTTATGAGTGTTCCTTGCCTTGCAAATGCATCACCCTGATCTCTGGCTTTATCTTCACGTGACTATGTCTGTACCTGTTTGTGTCAGTATCCAAACCTCCCCTTTTTACAAGGATACATTGGATTGAGGACCGCCCTTATTTCAGTATGACCTCATATAAACTAATTACCTCTGCATCTACCTATTTGCAAATAAGGTCACATTCTGAGATACTTGCGGTTTGGATGTAGTATATGAGATTTGGATATACACAGCTTAACCCATAATAGAGCCTCAGAAATTACATACTTAGTACTTCTTAAATAGTTTTTTAGTCACCGAAGAAAGGCTGGTATCATCTCACTTGCCATAAGTATCATAATCATAATAATAAAAGGCCAGAGTTGTCACGACCAAAACGACCAAACAACCGTCACCATGAAGTGCATGGAGCATCTCTCAGTCCCTCCCCTGCAGCCCACAGGCCCCCGATTGCAGCAGAGATGGTAGCCGGCGGGCGCAGGCGTGGGGAGGCGCACATAGGTGGGCGGGGCCACGCGATTTTACACGCTGGGCCTCTAGTTAAGTAATATTTGTTGTAACTTATTCCTTATATATTAATCCACTTTTCTAAACAAGGTCCAATGTGTCTGAATCCCAACAGTTGTGCAACTTATATTAAATCGCTACCATTATGCCATTACCAGGAAATTATAGATATGCCCGAATGGGGAAACCAAGAGCAAATGAAATAGAAGTAATCAAATACATAATAATAGACTATGACTGTCCTGAACTAAAAAAAAAAAATGTTCGTAGCCTTTATTTTCTTTTTATTTTTATTTAAATATATTTTTATTGATTTCAGAGAGGAAGGAAAAGGGAGAGAGAGATAGAAACGTCAATGTTGAGGAGAATCATTGATAGGGTGCCTCCTGCATGCCCCACACTGGGGATTGAGCCTGCAACCTGGACATGTGCCCTGACCAGGAATTGAACCATAGCCTCCTGGTTCATAGGTCAATGCTCAACCATTGAGCCATGCCAGCCGGGCTGTTTGTAGCCTTTAAAAAAAGAATCACAGAGTACTTGCCAAAATAGAAATTCAATCTTAGGCATACGATGGCAGATATTTAGAATTATAATTTAGAAAAAATTGTTATTTTCCTAGATTAAAACAACAAAAAGACTGTTCTTTGATTTTTGTTTTTAAGAATAATAAATGACAAAAGGTAAGTCCATGTTCAAAACTTTGGTTTTCGTTCTCTGCTAGTAGTTTACTTTTTCAAGTGATAAAATTCTTTTTTAAAAAGTGTTTAAATACTATAGATGTATATGATACGAAAATGAAGTCCTCTGTATATTCTCCCTCATAGTCTGCCAATCCTACTTTGTAGAGGTAACCGCTTTTATGTTGGTATTTATCCTTGTAGACATTCGCACGTACATAGCAAACAAAAAGAAATTTAAAAAAATATTTTTTTAATTAGTTTTTATTTTTAAATAAAAATAGTATTATGTTACATACAAAACAATTTATAGAATATCCACTAGGTAGTCTGACTAAATTAAAAATGAAAGATTCTTGTATAAGTTGGGGTATAAAAAACATCTTTTTACATACCTTTCTTGAAAAAATTGCATGAAATATTTTAGTTACAGAAAGGTAAATCCATATTAAGAATATAAAATCATTCTGTTCTATCGTTGGGTGTTAATAATCATAAATAACTAAGTCCTGAGGAAAATCTTCATTTTGGGAATCACAGGTGATTGTTTAGGCTTGTGATTGAGCTTAAATAAGTTGGAAGGTTTGGGGTCTCCTTTAGAAGTGACTGCTTTCTGAAAGGAACTTTAAAAGTAGATAATACCATTTTTTAAAGTGATGTACTTATATTAGACAGAAGAAATTCCCTGGAGGAGCTCTTCCTTAAGCCTCATGAATACATTTAGAAGCTTAGTTTATAATTTTTGAAAATAGATATAAAATTGCAGTAGCAATAGTAGTAAAAAGAATTGACTGCCCTGGCTGGGTGAATCAGTTGGTTGGAGTTTCTTCTCATACACCAAAAGGGTTGATTCCTGGATTCCTTGTTTGATCCCTGGTCTGGGCACACATAGGAGGCAACTGATCGATGTTTCTATCTCACGTCTCTCTCTCTCTCTCTCTCTCTCTCTTTCTCTCTCTCTCTCGCTCTCTCTCTCTCTCTCTCCCTCCCTCCCCCCCCTTCATCTTTTCTCTCTAAAATCAATAAACATATCCTTGGGTGAAGATAAAAAATAAAAAATAAATTGAATATCACTTAGTAAAAGACTTAAAGGAAATATAAAGATTTTACATGTGGTGATGTGATAATTTTTTTAGTTTTTTTTCTTTCTGTTCTAATTTAAAATTTTCTGTGAATATGTATTTGGGCAAAATATTTGTTTAGTTAGTTCATATAAGCAGTACAAATGATAAAATAATTTCACTGATATATTAATACTAGCAAGGTAAAATTTTTGTCAGATTATTAAAGAATAACAGAATAATGAAATTAAATGTTTCAGAGTAATACTACATGAGCACTCGTATAACTGCTATTGAAATTATAAATGAGCAAAGCCTTTCTGAAAAAACATTTAGATAAGAGCCTTAAAAACATATTTTAACTTAGGAATTCTGTTTCTGAATGTTGTCTATGGAAATCATGTGAAAGAACAAACATTAATTGCAGTGTTATTTGACTATGGCAATGCATTGAGGAACATTGACATCAATCTGGAAAGTGAAATATATATGATTTAATATTTATGATATACAGTAGGTCCTTGGGTTACTTTGGAGATCCATTCCTATGGCACGACGTAGCGGCGCGATGTAATGCCGTAAGTCGGAACCCACCTACTAAGCACCTATGTCACTCAAATGGAGCACATACACAGCAGTAATGAAGTGAAACAGTAAAAAAAAATTTAAAAGAAAGATAATTCCTGACCTTTACTTGTGGTAAATAAATAATAAAAAACATAAAGCACATACCCTTTTTTTCACTTTATTTTTTAAAAATAAATGGGAGATGGCGATGTAACCATGAAACCATGTCCGTCGAGTCAGATGTAATCCGAGGACTGCCTGTATATATATAAAATCAATTGTATATATTGATTCAATATATTATACATGTACCCATAAGTAGTATTGACAAGGGATCTTTATTACTTACAGATATGCTTATTTTGCTACTAGAAAATTCTCTTGTGAGAAAGTGAAGTGTTATTACAACTGTGTTTAAAAATAACAAAAAAAGTCATACATATTCCGAAATGTACTGGTTTGTGAGCAAGCATCCATAGTTCTAGGAGGAAAAAAGCTAACCTTATAAGAGTGTTTACCTGTGGGCATCAAATTTAAGGCCATTTTAGTTTTCATTATAATTTTCTGTGTTTTTCAAATATATATTTTACAATCAGCTTACTTTATTTACTTTTTTGCTGTTTGCTATCTTTGAGTATCCTGTTATCTATGAGTTTCTTGTTATATGGGTTCCATTTTAGTGCCATAATGCCACTTGGGTTCTGTTTCCATTTTTGCTTTTTGTAGGCCAAGATAGCCAGGTTAACCAAACGCTTTGGAGCAGCCAAAGAAGATCTTAAGAAAAGACAAGAAGTAAGAATTTCTATTGTTGCACAATTAATATTTAGCTCTAACTGATCATCTCAGTTAATGCTGAATTAGGAGGAAACACTTCCTTTATTACAGTTCTGAAGTTTGCTCTCATTCCCTGTACTTACTGTATGTTGTTTCTGCAGCTCTTAATTAATTTTTAACCCTTTCCTAATTTTCAATTACTGTTTTCACATTTTAACACATATCAATTACTTTTATTTTATGGCATTCTTGAAGCCGTATTTTCTATACATGCGGACTGAAGGGTCCCGGGTTTGATTCCGGTCAAGGGCACATGCCCTGGTTGCGAGTTCAATCCCCAGTAGTGGGTGTGCAGGAGGCAGCTGAACAATGATTCTCTCCCATCATTGATGTTTTTATCTCTCTCTCTCTTTCTCCCTCTCTGAATTCAATAAAAATATATATTTTTTAAAAATTATGTTTTTTGGGATTTATCCTAGTCTAGTCTTGTTATTGTTTTAGTATTCCACTGCCTTCAATAGCCCCGTTCTGCCCTTCCTTTCTTATACTATGTAAATTAAGTCCAAACATGGTAGCATAACATAAACACTATTCTATAGTCTAGTTTTTATTTTTGTTGTTTCCTTAGTTACTCTGTAGTACATTATTTTAAAAAATTTAAAAATATGTTTTTATTGATTTTTAGAGAGAAAGAAAGGGAGAGGGAGAGAAAAACATGGATGTGAGAAACATCGATTGGTTGCCTCCTGCATGCATCCCAACAGGAATTGAGCTTGAAACCTGGGCATGTGCCCTCCCTGATTGGGTATCGAACTGGCTACCTTTTGGTGCACGATGATGACATTTAACCAAGTGAGCCACACCAGCTGGGGCATGCAGTACATATTTTTAATAAAGCATTTGCATGTTGCTTTATAGTTTTTCAGTTGAATTTCTTTCTCTTCCTCTTGACTTTTTCCCCCATTAGAGCAATTCACATTTCTTTTTGTATTGATAGATCCATTATCTGGCACATGATAATTGCCAATAATAATTATTTCATTAATAATCACTATTTCTACAAGATTTTTCTGTCTTGATTCATTTTCTCACTTGACTTAAAAACAATTTTATAGTTTCAACCTTACCTTGCCCCTCCACCCCCACTGACTCCCTTCCCCCCGCAACTAATAATTTGCTTTTCATCTCTATATTGTTTTTACTTAACTTTTAAAATTGTTTTCTCTTTTTTTCTTGAGTAACTGACAATTGGTTTTTTCCTTTGTTCTATATAGACTAATTTCCCCAAACTCACTTAGACATATCCGAAGATTTTTTATTATAGTTTTTTTTCAATTACGTAATTTCCTGATTTTAAATTCCACTTTCTCAACTTTGTTTCTTTGTTATAATGTGTAAAATGAGCTATTTTATTTCTTATATTAGAAAATTTGTATAAATCTTTTTTGAACCGTTTTTATTTGCTATGCCTAATAAAGTATATGTAGACATTCACTAGATATTTATTGAATGAGTATATCTGGTTTATTATTAATATTTTTATTGTTTTGTTTATTGAGTCCTACAGCATGTAAACCATTTTCATAGTCTTCATTTTATTTCCTCATCTCAAAAAACTGAGGTATCAGAATTATTACATTTGTCTTTTGTATAATAAGCAGTTGTTTCCATTAAGTACTGTGCTTAAGACAGCTAACAAGTGGCAATTCCGAGATTCAAATTCTTGTCTCAACTAATAATATTTTTTCATGGAATTATAGAAGTAACAGATAATATATTGATAAAGCATTTAAGGTCTTATTTTTAGATTTGCTTTATATTGGGTTTTATTTTACCTTGGTATTTTTCTCCCTCAGAATCCACCAAACCCACCTGTACCTGTATCACCAGGAAAGTCTATAGTTGATGTCAACAGCAATAACAGTGTGCCCTATAGGTGAGAATAATAAACAGTCTATTTCTCAAGTATTTATTCCCCCTATCCCCCCCCCCTTTTTTTTGCCTTTTTCTTTTTTTTATATATTTTATTGATTTTTTACAGAGAGGAAGGGAGAGAGATAGAGAGTTAGAAACGTCGATGAGCGAGAAACATCAATCAGCTGCCTCCTGCACATCTCCTTACTGGGGATGTGCCCGCAACCCAGGTACATACATGCCCTTGACCGGAATCGAACCTGGGACCTTTCAGTCTGCAAACCGACGCTCTATCCACTGAGCCAAAACGGTTTTGGCTTTTTTGCCTTTTTCTTGTGTTAATCCTCACCTGGGGATATTTTTCCATTGCTTTTAGCTAGAGTGGAAGGGAGGGAGGGTTACTGGGGTGAGAGGGAGAACATCGATGTAAGAGAGACACATTGACAGGTTGCCTCCTGCATGTGGGAACTGAACCTGCAACCCAGGTATGTGCTCTTGACCAGGAATGGAACCTGCGACCCTTTGGTGCATGGGCCGACTCTAACTGCTGAGAACACTGCCCAGGGCCTCTTTTTCTACCTTTTAAAAATAAAATTTACTCATTTTTCCCATCCACCAGCCCCCACTTCTGGCAACTACCAATCTGTTCTCTATATGGATTTAAAAAATACATATTTTTTTAGATTTCTTAAAATAAATTTTGTTTTTTCAGATTTCTTTCTCTGTTTAACTTCGCTTATCAGCATGTCTTCAAGATCCATCCATGTTGGGGGTCAAATGGGAAAATTTTTTTTTTATGGCTAAATTATACTCCTATGTGTATATGTATAAAAGTTTGCTTACCCATTCATCCATAGGTGAACACTTAAGTTGTTTCCATATCTTGGTTATTTTAAATAATGCTGCATTGAAAATGGTTGTGCATATATATTTTCTAATTAGTATTTTGGTTTACTTCAAACAAATATCCAGACGTGTAATTGCTGTATCATATGGTAGCTCTATTTTTAATTTTTTGAGGAAGCTTTGTACTGTTTTCCATAGTGGCTGCACCAATTTACATTTCCATCAATAGTGTGCAAGGTTTTTAAATAGCAAGTCTGTCAAGTTTCCAAATAACTCATATGTAGAATCTAATGAACAAAATTAACTGTTGAACAAAATAGACCCAGAGACATAGAAGCATGGTACAGACTGTAGAATCTCAGTGGGAAGGTGCGGGTAGGTAGGAAGAGATCAAAGAACTTGTATGCATATATGCATAACCCATGGCACAGACAGTAGGGTGTGAAGGCCTGGGGTAGTGGGTGGGGTGGTTAGAAGGGATCAGTGGGGGGAAAAAAGGAACATATGTAATATTTTCAACAATAAAGATTTTAAAAAAATAAAGTAATAAAATAAGAGAACAAGTTTCTGATTTTATTTTGCAGAAACATCTTGGAATCTAATCTTAGGTATTTGTATAGAGACAAGTGGTATACCAAATTAAGTGTATTTCCTTCCTTTTTGCTTTGTTATGGATATTGGTTTTGGTAATTTATTATAAGGCTTTTTTTGGTCATTGCAGATTTCTTTTATCACTTGTACTACATAGTATTCTCTCAAGTAACTGAGAAATGCTTTGGTCAGGGGTGATAAAAGCGAGTGTCTGCAGATTTTAGGACCTACATTTGGTTTTCAGGTAAAAGCATTGAGGACATTAGAATATAAGAGGAAGATTTTTCCCTAATGCCATAGGACACCTCCCCTCCTGCCCCTAGCGTTCTGAAGTCTATGTGGTAGTTTTCCCTCAGTGCATTCACTTGAAATTTAATGCTGCAATAGCTATGTCTAGCCACTCTTTTTTTCCCCCATGGGCCACTGCTTTATCTATACATAAATTGATGTTCCCTACAATGTTATATTCATGACTGACTATTTTTGTGTATATATATTTCATAGAAACACAGGTACAGTGAGACAGTTGCTGGAGTCCAAAAGAAATGTAAGCGAGAGTACACCACCATCCATTCAAACCCCTGTGAATACAGGTAACAATATTTTTTAACACTGAAATACATTTTCTTAGTGTAATTGGAGGCATTGGTTTTCTTTTCTTTTGAGGATGAAATTTGCTAGAAACTGAGCATATTGACCTAAATTGAGTGCTTAAGTATATAATTTTATTTAAACACTAGAGGCGCAGTGCACGAATTTGTGCACGGGTGAGGTCCGGCTGGCCCGGCCCCAATTGGGGTGGATTGGGGCCGGGCCTGTCAGAAGGAGGAGATGGCGGGAGGTTGGCTGTCTGGCCTGTCCCCATTGGGGAGAGGGGGCCGATCTGGGGTAGGGCCAGGCAGGAGGAGGGGCTAGGCAGGAGGAGGGGCTGCAGGAGGTTGGCCGGCTTGCCCGCCCCCTATTGAAGCAGGGGGGTGTGCAGTCAGGGGCAGGGCCACCAGGGGGATGGGCTGTGGGCTGATCAGGGGGGTGGGGGCCCATCAGGGGTGGGGCCTGCCGGGGGGAGGGGCTGCAGGAGGTTGGCCGGCTTGCCCGCCCCCTATTGAAGCAGGGGGGTGTGCAGTCAGGGGCAGGGCCACCAGGGGGATGGGCTGTGGGCTGATCAGGGGGGTGGGGGCCCATCAGGGGTGGGGCCTGCCGGGGGGAGGGGCTGCAGGAGGTTGGCCAGCGAGCCCCTCTGATCAGGCGGTTCGCTGGCCACAGTGGGCATCATATGACCAGTCGTTCTGGTTATTACAGTCTTTTGTTCTGGTTGCTGGCTTTTTATATATATAGATTAGGATTCCATATATGCATGGAAATACAGAAATTGAAATCTCTACTGTAGTGGTTCTCAAACTTTTTAGTCACCATATCCCTGTATAATCTTAAAAACTATTAAGAATCCCAAAGTTTTTGTTTGTGTGGGTTATGTTAATTGATATTTACTATAGTAAGAATATAAAATTCAAAAAATGTTTGCTTATTCATTAAAAAATAATAAACACTGCCTAACCAGTTGGGCTCAGTGGATAGAGTGTCATTCTACATACTGAAGGTCCCAGGTTTGATTCTGGCTGAGGGCGTGTGCCTCAGTTGCAGGCTCAATCCTCAGCCCTGGCTGGGTGAGTGCGGGAGGCAACCAACCGATGTATCTCTCTCACATTGATGTTTCTCTCTCTCTCCTCCTTCCTTCAACTCTAGAAATCAATGGGAAAATATCCTTGGGTGAGGATTAACAAATTAAAAAATAATTATTAACACCTTATTTTGCAACACGTGTTTTAATGAAAAATAACTTCTAAGCTTAAAAAAGTAATGAAAAGAGTATGATTGTCTTACATTTTTATACATTTCTTTTATCTCACTTAAAACATTAAGATCCCTATGAAAGCAGGATTCTTATATCTATATCTGCATTCCTTGTTGAAATCTGTTGTTTTGATTGAAATATATGAAGAAAATTCTGCCTCATACATATATGTGGTTGGAAAAGGCTAGCTCTTTTAGAGAACTGTGGATATTTTCTTTGAAAATCAAGTAGTTGTTTGTTTGTTTATTTATTTATTTATTTATTATTGATTTCAGAGAGGTAGGGGGAGGGAGGGAGAGAAACATCAATGAAGAGAGAGACCAGAATTGAACCTGCAGCCCTTCAGTCTGCAGGCTGATGCTCTATCCACTGGGCCAAGCCCTATAGGGCTATTTTGTTGGCTTTTTTTACTGTGAACATGTGATGGTAAAAAATGTAGTGATAATTTTAGTACCACTACTTGATTTTTGTACTGAAGAATCAGAAGTTTTACTCATCATTGCTTTGGCTCCATCAGTGCAAATATCTACATGGTGAAAAGTAAAATAATGTTTTATTATTGTTATGAAAATAGTTTTGATATTGCAAGCTCCTGAAAAGGTCTCAATTACCCCAAGTATCCCACTGAACCATACCTTGAAAATTGCTGCTCTCAGTATGCCTGTGATTTTGGAAGAAAGACTACAGATCAATGAGAAAGACACTTAGCCATCTAGCTTCCTTATTTCATCTCCCATCGACACTCTGCCATCTTCCATTTATATATATAAAAGGCTAATATGCAAAGTGTCCCCTCAGGAGTTTGAACAGGAGACCAGGAGTTTGATTGCTCACTATGACGTGTGCTGACCACCAGGGTGAAGCACGGGACAAAGAAGGCCCCGGCCTGCAGCCGAGGAAGGAAAGCTCTGGTCGGCAGTTGGAGGAAGGCCCCAGCCAGCAGCTGGAAGGCCCCGATCAGCCCTGATCGCTGACCAGGCCTAGGGACCCTACCTGTGCATGAATTTTGTATCCTGGGCCTCTGGTCCTACAAAATAAAGAGCTAATATGCTAATTAGACCAGATGGTGGAACAACCTTCTGGAATGACCAGTGGGGAGTGGGGGGAGGGCAGGGCCATGAGGCACGAATTTTGTGCATTGGGCCTCTAGTATTATATAATGTTAATAGAATGTCAGTGTAGGCAACCTTCTTTCTCTAGTTCCTCTCCCAGGCAATTCAATACAACTTGATCCGAAGATCTGATTTCATATGGTCCAAATGATAAGATACGTGACCAAGTTTGACTATTCATTAATAGTGATGATGCTTACTAGACTTTCTATTTGAGTTTATATATTGCTAGTGTCCCAAAGCATTTGTAATGTTTTAAATGTAGTTTCAAAAATATCTAAACAATATTACCAATTTTTCAGTTATTTTTCAGTTATGCTATAGTTATTACAGTAATTTTCAGACACTGTTTTGATAAGGAGATAGCAGTCCTCCATATTAATCATAAACCGTGTGATGTTTTCATAATATACTGATCACAGATGCAAAATGCTTCTACAAATTTAACTCAAAGAAGTTCAAGAATTTAAATCTGGAAAAGATTTCATTATGAAGGACTTTACTGTATCTACTGCAATCCATTAAATTATTATTGTGTTATATTACCCTAGCTGATAAATGGAGATAGCCATTTAAACTGAGATTTCTTTTTTCTTTCTATAGTGTCTTCAACCAATCTTGTCACTCCTTCAACAGTTGTCAGTAGTCAACCTAAATTGCAGACTCCAGTGACTTCGGGTTCTCTGACATCAATTCTTCCTGCACCCAACACAGCTACAGTAGTTGCTACTACTCAGGTGCCTAGTGGAAATCCCCAACCTACAATCTCTTTACAATCATTACCAGTGATTTTGCATGTACCTGTTGCGGTATCCTCCCAGCCTCAACTCCTACAGAGCCATCCCGGGACTTTAGTAACTAATCAACCATCTGGCAACGTTGAATTCATTTCTGTACAGAGCCCACCTACAGTGAGCAGTCTCACCAAAAATCCAGTATCTTTGCCATCCTTGCCAAATCCCACTAAACCAAACAACGTTACTTCTGTGCCCAGTTCTAGTATTCAAAGGAACTCTCCTGCCAGTGCTGCACCATTAGGAACAACACTTGCTGTACAGGCTGTTCCAACAGCGCACTCTATTGTACAAGCCACAAGGACTTCTTTACCCACAGTAGGCCCATCAGGACTCTACAGTCCATCAAATAATCGCGGTCCTATACAGATGAAAATTCCAATTTCTGCTTTTAGTACTTCATCTCCTGCAGAACAGAGCAGCACTACTACCCCAAGAATTGGTAAGTCACTATGTAGCTTTAATAATAGAAATAAAAGCTTGCTAATGATCTGTAGATAATTGAACTTTTCTGTTTGTTTGTAGAAGTGGCTAGCATCATTAGAAAAATGATGGAAATGGAATATCCTGGGGGTTATTTTTAATAAGTTTTTAGTTACATAAGAAATTATGTTGTTAAAATGGGATTTGAGAGAGAGTTTGTTTTGAGTGAGAGGCTAGCATTTGTATTTAACTTTTAGGCATTTTTCTAATCTGGGTGAATTTTTTTATTTAGGCTTTGTAGCAAGCATTATTTTATAATACATTTGCCAGGAATATATGAATAGAACAAATTTATTTTAAAGTATCTGATTGACCTAATGTACGCTTAAAAGAGGAAAATAAACATCACATATTTTCCCTACCCATTTATGTGCTCATCACTCACAGCTTTTAAATTTGAACAGTTTAAAAATAGGTTCTGCCCTCTCTAGTTTACTACGCAGTGCTTGATTGTGTCTTGTTTTCTCTGTTGTATATTTTCCCCTATGACATATTTTATGATTATATTTGTATATATGTGTACTTTGAAGTACTGCAAAAGGAGAGCTTGATTGTATCTGTATTTAAAATCTTTTAAACTCTTTTTTTAACTACATTTTGTATGCATTCTCTTTTTTTCAATTATAGTTGACATTCAATATTTTATATTAGTTTCAGTTATAGAATAGTGGTTAGACATTCATATAATTTATGAAGTGTTTCCTTTGATAAGTCTAGTAACCATCTGGCACTATGCATAGTTATTACAATATTATTGACTACATTTCCTACGGTATATGTTATATCCCTATGACTGTTTTGTAACTACAATTTGTATTTTTTTAAAAAAATATATTTTATTGATTTTTTACAGAGAGGAAGGGAGAGAGATAGAGAGTTAGAAACATCGATGAGAGAGAAACATTGATCAGCCGCCTCCTGCACATCTCCCATCAGGGACGCGCCCGCAACCCAGGCACATGCCCCTGACCGGAATTGAACCTGGGACCCTTCAGTCCACAGGCCGACGCTCCATCCACTGAGCCAAACCGGTTTCGGCTAGAATTTGTATTTTTTAATCCCTTTGCTTTTTCCCCCAACCCTCATCCCATCTGGCCACCATCAGTTTGTTCTTTTGAATAATTAATGCTTAGCCTAGAGACAATTTAAGTCAAAGAGAGGTGCATGCTGGGTAACAAATCTCTTATAGTTATTTAAATTATAAGTGTGTGCGTGTGTGTGTGTGTGTGTGCGTGTGTGTGTGTGTGTGCGTGTGTGTGTGTATATGTATGCATGTTTATGTATATAAAGCACAACCCAACTTTTCACATTTTTAGGTGCTTTTAAAAATGGCTGACTTTTTAAATTTTGACTCCTCAGAAAACCAGACAAACAAAACAATAGATGCTTCTATTAAGAAAGCAGCTGATAGCACATCACAGGTAAGATTTTCCTTCTGTTTCAAATTAAAATTCTAATTATAGTCCACAAGACAATGGATTTCTACCAGTATTCTTTAATACAATGAAAATTATTCTGTGTTCTTTACAACTCTTCAAAGATTTCCAAACAGCTTCTCTGTAATATTGAACAAGAACTGACTTTCTTTGCTTAGTAATTCTCCTAGAGGTAATGTTATTCTATTATATTGACTAACTGCTTGGCTTATATAATTGACAGTCCAGCTATTTGCCTAAGTGGCAAATATAAGACACTGTGAAACAGCCTGTGATTCTTTAGGATGTCCCTTTCTGATTACTTATGGATAACTTATTTTTTTCTGTGACAAATCTTACTAGGTTGAACACTTTAAAGTTAGTAGAGTTTCAAAGAAATCTGAATGGACTGTATGGAAATGGTTGTTGTTTAATCAGACCTAGTTAGGAACTCGTTAAATATGTAAAATATCTTTTTTGGTAGTCATTGAATGAAGATTTATCTAATGTCCTCCAAATAATTATTTGTCAACATATTTCACATAGAATGTATTATTATAACATATTTTTTCACATATCTCATTTCATATAATACATCAATATATTTAATATAGTATAAAAATTATCTATTCAAATTATCAGCATATATTATAAAACAATGTAGATTTTTTTTATGCTGCTGTCTGTAATTATAGTGCTGATTTGAGGGACTCAGGTTCACCCTCAAGTTGGTTGATTTGCTAGAACAGTGGTTCTCAACCTTCCTAATGCCGCAACCCTTTAATACAGTTTCTCATGTTGTGGTGACCCCCAACCATAAAATTATTTTCGTTGCTACTTCCTAACTGTAATTTTGCTACTGTTATGAATCGTAATGTAAATATCTGATATGCAGGATGTATTTTCATTGTTGCAAATTGAACATAATTAAAGCATAGTGATTAATCACAAAAACAATATGTAATTATATATGTGTTTCCCGATGGTCTTAGGCGACCCCTGTGAAAGGGCC